GAAACACTACTTTGGGATTATTCTCTATGCAGAGCCAACTTTTGTAGTAGAAGGACGAGTCGTTGTTCATTTGGGCTGCAGCCTGAACGCCGTCTAGTAAACTGGAGCTGGAAAGCAGCGGTCTCTGATCTCTGAACCTAATCCTGCAACATAACAGAACCGCATTGGGAATAAAAACGGCTATTAGCTGGAGGTTTTCCTCATGCTTTGATGTGGAGTACAGATAGCTTTGCTCACATTGACGGTCCTCGTGAACCTCCCAGTTCTTCTTTTTATCTTTGTTCTAACGGTTTAGGACGGGTTTACTTCCTGGCTTTGCTGCAGCTTGCATGCTATCAGCGACTGCCTCCAACTCTGGGATTTTCTTCAGTGTTTTAAATGTCTAGAATAATCTGCCTTTTAGACAAGTTTCATATCAAGCAGGAAGTTTTATTTATGAAGTTCCTGGACTTTAACGCACCAAGGAGACTAAAAACAGCCAGATCCTTTAAGAACGGCAGTCTTGGTGTTAATCTGAGCTAAAATCCAACTGGAATACATCAGAGTCTGAAAACATTTAGTGTGGATCATTGGCAGAGTTCAGATGGACCAAAGCAGAGGATGGGCTGGTCAGAGGACAGGACACAGTTTCAATGCACTACAGACTTACTGACTGTTTCTGTGCCAGAGACGACATCCAATCACATTTTTTTCTCTGCCTTCGTTTGTAGGAGCTTGCAGGACTAAGAAGACATGGCCAGTGAGTTACTCCAAGGAGGAACTGACGAAACGCCTCACCCCAAAGCAGTACCATGTCACCCAGGAGAGAGGCACCGAGAGGTCAGTTTGTCTATCAGCTGAAGAACAGATAAAGCAGATGTTCTTCCAGAACCTTCCTCCATGTCCATAACTGACTTTGTTTCCCTCACAGCGCCTTCACTGGGGAGTTCACCGACCATAAAGCCGAGGGGACGTATCACTGCGTGGTCTGTGGGGCCCCTCTCTTCAGGTGGGTGGAATATGGGTCCGTCTGCTCGCCTACAGGTGGTCCAGGCGTTACCCAGGCCCAGAGTTTCAATAAATTCATGTTTTATTCAAAGAGATGACATTGCCATGGTAACGACAGCAGCGCCCAGAGAAAAGAAAAACCCTGACGACAGCTTTCTCTGTTCTTTCACAGCTCGCAGTCTAAATTTGACTCAGGATCAGGTGAGCAGAACTTCTCCCAGCGTTCTGAGCCATACCTCCATCTATTCTGCTAATGCTAATACTAGCGGCTTTGGTATTCAGGAGTTTTTTTGGACGCAACGCGGTATGCTGGCTCGTTAGCTCGTTACACTTAGCAATGGCTCTGTTGATGCTCAGGTTGGCCATCCTTCTTCGATCTCCTGAAGGACGAGTCCATCGCTCTGTCTGATGACTTCTCCTACGGCCTGCACAGAGTAGAGACCACCTGCAGTCAGGTAAGCTACTAACTTCTTCCTTTGGTAAATTCGTCTTAAACTTCCAGTTGATGGAAGCATCTTAGGTCATATTTAATTCCTTACAGATTGAAATTATCTTTACAGAAAGCTGCGTTTCTGAGGGGAAGTTAATTAAATGTTAAAGCGTTAATATCACAGAGGTGACACTAGTTTAAGGTGGTTCAGTTTGTCGCAGTCAGGTGGTGATGGACAGGAAGTGACAAGAAAAAGAATTTATGTAGTCTGACAGAATCTGTGTAAAATAAAAGTTATTAAACATCATTTAATCTTGTAAAAAAAGTGCTAGCATGGATCCCTGTGGTACTCCATGGTAACTATGGTAACCAGGAAGCCTCCGTCCGGACCCATGTCAGCCAGAAAGCAGCTCTGACCGGTTCTGACCCGTCGCTCAGTACCAGTGAATCCTTCTGTTTCAGTGCGGCGCCCATCTGGGTCACCTGTTCGACGACGGCCCCAAACCTACGGGAAAGCGCTACTGCATTAACTCCGCCTCTTTGGCGTTCCAGCCCAAAGAGACGTCAGAGGGAGCCTCAGGCGGCGCCGAGCCGGCCGCCAAGCAAGAACTTTAGAAGAACCCAGGAGCTGTGGCTGAGGGAAGCGAAGAAAGAAAGATGCTGCTTTGATTTTTGTTGTGCAGAGAGAGCGTGGCTAGCAGCGGTAAAGTTAGCACACCCAGCTAAAGGGCCATGGTTCCATTCCCAGGATCCTTTAGTGATTTTTAAACAGGAAGCATTGGATGCCGTCAGCAATGATCTTTAGGACAGGTTAAGGCGCTGAAGGTTTTTGTTGCCATGGCAACCACCTGCCACAGCTATATGTAGCTTTTTTGTTATTTAGCCTAGAAGGAGGATTTGCATGTTTGATTTCTATTCTCTAAGCAGACTGAATTCAGTCTTTGTTTTCCTCTGGTTTCACTGAAAGGATGATGATGATGATGATGATGATGATGGTCACTGAGAAGTGAGGACATCTATGCAACTGTTTGTTTTCTGACTGTTTCCTCCATCTTTCAGGTCAAACATATCCAGTTGTTTGGTTTTGATTTGCTTCTACTTTATATCTGCAGTGTGTCTGAAAACCATGTTGAATAAAAAGCATTTAAAAGGAGGCTGATGTTTTTATTTCTAAGTAAAGCTTTGATTATTTATTTTTCCTGGTCATGACTAACAGGTTTGTTCTGATCTGTCAGAACCATGATGTTCTCATTTTCAGGGAGACTTAAAACTTTTAAAATAAAGATAAATTCATAATTTTGTCACAGACTGGCTGGTTCATAGCATCAGTGATTACCATACTAACTTTATTTATAAAGCACTTTATACACAGACAGGACAGGACCAAAGTTCTGTACACAATCATAAAATACATGCAATTATAAAATAGAAAGGATAGAGTATGAAATACATTAGCATACAAACAGAATCAAACAAACCTCTCAAATTGTGCCAAAAGCCAAATAAAAAAGATGAGTCTTAAGAAGGAACTTTAAAATAGCTAGAGAGGAGGCTTGTCTTCTGCTCAGAGGCAGATCGTTCCACAGCTTAGGAGCTGCCACAGAAAAAGCACGGTCCCCTCTGAGTTTCAGAAGAACAGATCAGCTGACCTGAGGGAACGGGAGGGTGTGTGAGAATGCAACGGCTCAGACAGATTAACTTTAACTTAGAATAAAAAAAACAGGCCCATCTCATTGCATAGTCATTATGGAGTCTATAAATCATGTAATATAACATATTATAGAAATCCATCACAATAAAAAGAATGTGTTAATGGCGCAGAATAATACAGATGAGCCAAAGGTGCTAAATTGATGATGTACATGTAATATACATGAATTGATTACATTTTTATGGTAATTATATATTACATATGATTTCAAGATTTTACATGAAGACTGTATTACTAGTACATGTCTGTTAATGCTGTAGCATTTTTCTATTTGCAAATTATGCATAAATGTTGCCATATAATTTATACTCTGTGCCTTTAAATCTGATAGATTTATATAAAGCTAAATTAATAACTCTACAGTTATTAAATAGGTAAAATTCAGGCAACAGCAAGTTCATATTTTGCTTTTTGTTCATAGTTACAACAAGAATCTGATCATTTTGAAAAAACAAGTATATATGCGCACACAGACACACACAGTCCAGTGATTGAATAACTTTATTAAAATAACTTACACGTGTGTAAATTCACGTTCAAACAAACCCATATATTTGCATTTAAAAAAATGAACACACAGTGAATTACTTTCTATTTCCTCTATTTTCTAACGTTAGACCCAATGTCAGTGTCTAACTCAGTCAATGTCTTCCAGTCTGAGATAGCCAGGCTAATGTTAGTCTACAGACTATACTATAGGATCCATTGGCTATAGATGGATTTATTGCTTAGTTCGTCCACTGACTGTGGAACATCTTCCTGCAGCCAGAAAACTGCTGGTTTATGCAGCCAAATGCTGCACAGGGAGGCATTTTACTGCACGTCTCTGTGGGAGTGGGGAGTACCAAGATGGTGGCTGGTGGCTTCACTTTTTCCTGGTAATCAGCAATCCAGTGAATAAATGCAGAGCAGCTCAAATCCTTTATTAACAGAGGAACATGAGTAGAAGATGGCTTCCATCATTTCATGGGAATAATAATAATAAACCCAAATATGCTCAGAGGAGATAAATAACAACAGAAGAATTAAAAGTCGAATGCAAAACGAAGAAAGGTCAGTTAAGCATTTAGCTTTAGACTGATCATCAGTTTTCCATCTTCCCTCTGTGCAGATGAGGGTTGAACCTGCAGGTTTGACTCCAGCAGCAGTTTTTAGCTCAAATGAAAGTAGTGCTGAATATTTAATGGCTCCTAAAACCTGTTAATGTTTAAAATAATAACATCAAACAGGGAGTTCTGGTATTTCTGCCTATAAACTAAAATAAATACAAATAAATGTGATTCATATAGGGAAGCTGGTCAGGATGACCATTCTGTAATGAGTGCAAACTGAAGCGGGGGTTTTGGCGCCCCCCTGTGGACAGCTCAGCTCCCCACGTGATCGATCACGTGGAGGAAGCAGCAGGCATCGTGTCCGTAGCTGTCAGCGCGGTGAAGTCCTCCATCAGAGCGGATTGTTGTGCTGTGGGAGATCCGGGATGTCCAGCATGAGTGGCAGGAACCCAGGAGCGGTCCTCGGTGAGCCTCAGCACATCACAGCAGACTGAGGCACGAGCGGTTAATGACCTGCAGGCGCGTGAGGAGGGAGGAGCTTAGCAATGCTTTTACTTCTCATTACTTTAAAAACACTTTCTGACGCAAGTTTGGTTTTATTTGGGTTTTATTCCGGTTCGGTATAATGACTTGATTATGAGAAAGAGGATAATAGAAGCAGGCAGAGCATGGCGGAGTGTCAGAGCCGCTCAAAGACAAGATTAAACATTTAATTTAGATTAAAGTAGATTATTAACCAGAATAAACGCGCATGTCTACGAGTAAAAACCACTGATCTGTGTTTATTCCCTGGATCTATGACTGTCCGTCGGTAGGACGGGGTGGAATGAAGCCACCGGCCGCCATATTGGTACTCCCATTCTGACTCCCGGCCAGCTACAGCAGCAACCATGATGTTCACAATTTTAGAGAGATTTAATACTTTTAAATTCTATTTAGTTTATTTCTATAGCTCCAATTCACATCTTGACATCTCAAGGCACTTTACAGTTCAACTCATTGACTCTTCAGCAATCCCTCACACTAAGCATGCTTGTAGCGACAGTGGAGAGGAAAAACTCCCTTTTAACAGGAAGAAACCTCCAGCAGAACCAGGCTCAGTGTGAGCGGCCATCTGCTGAGGCCCACTGGGGTTCAAGGAGACAGAAGCAGACATAGAAAAAGAAGCATAGATACAAAAGGCAACTGTCAACCAGCTCCACAGGCGGCCCCGTCCAGGAAACACACAGCCAGGCAGACGAGCTCCGAGCCAGCTCCCATGTCAGAGGATGAAGAGAGCACATCCAGTTAGTCACAGTCAGAGAAACAGGACCACACTGGAAAACAGGCCAAGCTCCAGCATCTATAAAGAAAGGTGTTGTTAAAATAAAGATATTTCTTCACCTCGACACACACTAAAAAAAGAAACACACAATGAATGGCTTTCTATTTCCTCTACTTTCTATTTTCTAATGGTAGACCCAATGTCAGCATCTAACTCAGTCAATGTTTTCCAGTCAGTCTGAGATAGCCAGACTAATGTTAGTCTACAGACTATACTATAGGATCCATCGGCTATAGATGGATTTAATGGTTAGTTCATCCACTGACTGGGAAATGACCTGTGGATCATCTTCCTGCAGACAGAAAACTGCTGGTTTATGCAGCCAAATGCTGCACAGGGAGGCATTTTACTACACGTGTCTGTGGGAGTGGGGAGTACCAAGATGGCGGCTGGTGGCTTCCAGTGATTAAATAGAGATCAGTGGTAAAAACACACAAAATAATACATACAAATATGAGTAGAAAAGTAGCTAATTTGCAAGATTTAAATATTTGCATTTACAGAACAATGTGAGATTATAATGCATGTTATACTGCGTAAAGCACATGCATCATTAATTGGGAGCTTTAGAGATGGAATGAGGCGGTACAATGGCCTCATGGACGTTTTTAAAATTAAAATGAATGATACAATAAATTTGTATGTTTATAATCTCACAAATTTGGCTGTTTTTTATCGCAAATCTGCTTGTTTATTCTAGTCAATATGCAAATTTAAACCAAAAAATTCAATTTTTTTAGTTTTGTCTCTGAATGGTTCTGATACGTGTCATACAGATAATGTAGTTTGGGAGATCAGAGTCATTTATCGGATTAAAAACCGTCTATCTCTGTGTTGGAATCAGACCTGGAATCCTTATCCAAGGTGAGAGTTAATACCCAGGCTGTCCTGAAGAGGGCGCAGCACATCCAGGGCCTGAAGCTTCCTAAGAAGCAGTGGCAGGTGAGCTCCTCCATAATCAATGGGCTCCATGCATGTTGCTGATGTTCACAGCGGTTTCTCTGTTTCCCTGCAGGCGGCTTGGCTGCTGAAGGCCGTTTCATGCATCGATTTGACCACGCTGGCTGGAGACGATACGCCATCAAATGTTCACCGACTCTGCATGAAAGCCATCCAGCCGGTCCGATACGACCTTCTGAAGAAACTGGATATGCACGACAAAGGCGAGGCCTGCTGGGGGCATTCAGTCTCTTAAATTAGTTTTATTTCATTAAAGGTTTAGTTCTATTTCCGGGTGGATCATCTAAATCAGTGGTCCTCCTAACTGTCAATCATTCTGGTGATATGTTTACTTTAAGGCCATCCTACGTCCCCATGTTCACTAACCAATGGTGAGTCTGACGTAGTGGAAAAACTGCTAATCCTCTTTGGGAAAGTAAACTTGTATGAGCGATGCAACCAGCAACTTTTAAACAGAGCGTGCACGAGGAGAAATGGGCTCGTGCACGCTCTGGCATGCGTAGAATACATGTTCCCTCCCTGGAACGGGTTCAGGGTTGTGCATGTGCATTTTTTCTTTTTAAGTAGGGCGGGTCAAAAATTCATGAAAATCTTCCACTATACCTTTAATCCACATTGTTTGCAGAAAGGCAGGGAAAAGTCAGCCCGAAACGGTTCAGAGGGAAAGCAAACAATGACGAGCGCTGAAGATATAAAGCAAAGTTTGCTCATCAGTTTGGAAACGACTCACTTTGGTTATTTTACCTGGAAACAGTATTTATCTGTTAGCATAGCAACAGTAATAACATTCCACACATGCGTGTTTGTCTTCATTAGAGGAATTTTGAAATGAGACAGAACTCTAGAAGCTTAAGCAACATTAGCAGCTTTACTAGCTTTAGCAATTTTAGCAACCCTAGCAGCTTTAGCAACGTCAGTAGCTTTAGCGGCTTTAACGTAAGCACCTTTAGCAATGCTAGCACGATAGCAAAGTTAGTAGCTTTAGCAGCTTCAACATTAGCAACTTTGGCAATTCTAGCAGCTTTAGCAATGTTAGTAGCTTTAGCATCTTTAACGTTAGCACCGTTAGCAATACTAGCAGCTTTAGCAACGTTAATAGCTTTAGCATCTTTAACATTAGCACCTTTAGCATGCTAGCACCTTTAGTAATGTTAGCAGCTTTAGCAACATTAGTCGCTTTAACAGCTTTGATGTTAGCACCTTTAGCAATTCTAGCAGCTTCAGCAACGTTAGAAGCTTTAGCATCTTTAGCATTAGCACCTTTAGCATGCTGGCGCCTTTAGCAATGCTAGCAGCTTTAGCACCCTTAACGTCAGCACCTTTAGCATGCTAGCACCTTTAGCAATGTTAGCAGCTTTAGCAACTTAAGTCGCTTTAACAGCTTTAACGTTAGCAACATTAGCAACTTTAGCAGCTTTAGCCACCTCAGGAGCTTTAATAAGTTTAGCAACTTTAGGAGCTTAAGTAGCTTTAGGAGCTTAAGTAGCTTGAGCAATTTTAGCAGCTTTAGCAATGTTAGCAGCTTTAGCAGCTTTAAGGTTAGCAGCTTTAGCAACTTAAGCAGCTTTGGCAGCTTTAGCAACATTAGCAACGTTTGCAGCTCATCAACACTAGGAGCTTTAGCAACTTTAGCAGCTTTAGGAGCTTAAGCAGCTTTAGCAATTTAGCAACATTAGCAGCTTTGGCAGCTTTAGCAACATTAGCAGCTTTAGCCACCTCAAGAGCCTTAGCAACTTTAGCAGCTTAAGGAGCTTAAGCAGCTTTAGCAATTTTAGCACATTTAGCAGCTTAGCCACCTCAAGAGCTTTAGTAATTTTAGCAACTTTAGGAGCTTAAGCAGCTTTAGCAACTTTAGCAGTTTTAGCAATGCTAGCACCTTTAGCAATGTTAGCAGCTTTAGCAACGTTAGTCGCTTTAACAGCTTTAACATTAGCACCTTTAGCAATGCTAGCAGCTTCAGCAACGTTAGTAGCTTTAGCATCTTTAGCATTAGCACCTTTAGCATGCTAGCAGCTTTAGCAATGTTAGCAGCTTTTGGTACGTTAGCAGCTTTAGCAGCTTTAAGGTTAGCAGCTTTAGCAACCCTAGGAGCTTTAGCAACTTTAGCAGCTGTAGCAGCTCATCTGGTCGCTGTGTAGCCCAGCAGTATTTTTGTAAGCCATGATGGAGCAGAATAATGGAACCAAGGTCATATTTAATCTGTTTAATCACAGAAAGCGATGATGCAGATTCTAAAGAGCGAATCGTCGACACATTGAAAAGATCAGCAGTAAACCAGGCGGTTAGTGGCAGCCATAGCTTTAATCGTTGGGAGGAACGCTGAGATTCCAGCTGTAAACAGCTTCCCTCATCAGACCTGTACACTGATTCATCTGTTCATGCCTGAGTTTGGCCTGTAGAGGGAGCCATAAACCAGTTCACCAGCATGACTCTGCCTCTCCATGCCCTGCAGGACTAACAACAGCAGCGGTGTGTGTGTATCCGTCCCGTGTGGCCGACGCCTCTAAATCTCTGAAGGCAGCCAACTCCGGCCTCCCTGTTGCCTCTGGTGAGTCAGCCGGAAGCTTCTCTGCTCGTTCAGGTCAGAGCTTAACTAAAGAACTGTGATTTTTCCATTCTTCCCAGTTGCCACTGGATTCCCAGCTGGCCAGACGCCACTGGAGACCCGCCTCCAAGAAGTCCGTACCGCTGTGAGAGACGGCGCAGCGGAGATCGATATCGTCATCAACAGGACCCTCGCTCTGACAGGACAGTGGGAAGGTAAACTATTCATTTTTTACATGAATTTATGGTTCTACAGAATAAAGACGTTAAATGGACTGAACAGTTTATCTTTGACTGCATAGAAGACCCCTAAATGACTGCAGAGGCTAAATCTGCCCCATAAAACAGAAAAACAGCATCAGTTTGATATTATAGTTAAATGTTCTACAGGAACGCATCACTGCTGCCACCTGCTGGTCTAGAGGAGAACTGCAGGTTCCAGAGGGGCAGCCCTGCCTTCAGGTTAAGCTAATCTTTTAATAATTAAAGCCTTTAGCAGAACCCACTGGTTTCTCCACCTGAGTTCAGTTCCAAGATCCAAACACCATTAAAAATGTAATCATTATTAATGTCAGGATGGCACTAAAACCAGTTTAGTGTGAGCTGTTGGTTCTGGGTCTTTATGCTGGAAGATCATTGCTGTTGATGCTTTCCTGTTATCCCTTTCCCAGTGGCTGAAAAACCGGTTTAAACCCGATAACAATCAGCTTTTAGTGTAAAGTAGGGATTAAATCCACCATGATGACTCTGATACTAACAGCAGAATTCAAGGTATGGATCGCCAAGATGGCGCTGTGCATGGAGCAGACCGTTACGTCAGCTCCCTGTTCTCCTTTCCTGCTTTCTGAGCCGACCGCTGCTTCAAACCTTCTCTGACTCTGTGGTGGCATCAGTCCTCCTCTACGCTGTCGTCTGCTGGGCTCCTGGCAGCGCAGAGCGGGACAGAAAGAGACTGAACAAACTGGTGAGAAAGGCCGTTTCTGTCCTAGGCTGCACTCTAGACTCTGAGAGGAGGCTGCTGTCCAAGCTTCCATCCATCATGGACGCCACCTTCCACCCTCTGCAGCAGACTGGAGAGGAGCTGAGCTGCTCCTTTAGTCAAAGACTT